TGCAACAAAACTATAGGCAATGGGGAAACGACCATTACTGAAACTCCTTTGGAGAGGGCTTAGCTTATTTGGAGCAGTCCTACCAGATGACCAGCTTACTATTCTCATCTTTACTTCATCCTGTGATGGGATAACTGACACTTTGCCATGTGACCTTGCAGAGCCTCCAGGAATGTATGTTGATTGCACATTTTCCTTGGCCATTGGTTCCAGTCTTGGCCATTGACTTTTGTCAGTCAACAGAAATTTTGCAGACATAATATGAGCAGAAGCTCTAAGTAAACATATGGGATTTGGATTGGCCTCCCGTGCTTCTGCCATTTGTCAGAACAACATTCTTCATGCCACCACAGGTCCCTAAATGAGAAGATTCATATGACTGACCTAGACCTAAGCCATAGCTTACAGTCACATCCAGCCGATCCCAGCAGACCCAGAATGAGCCAAAAGCTTCTCAGCATATTTATGAGCACAGAATGACTGTTGTTGCAAGCCTTTGGGTTTCCTGGTTATGTATAAAGCAGCATTATTCACTAAAAACTTTGTAAATACGAAGCTCTGCATGAATGTCTATTCTGTGTCCTGCAAGCTTATTAAAGGCATCACAGTGAAAGTCTGATTTTAGCTGAATTTGGGGAAGTAAGGGCCAAGGCTAGACCCAGCCTTGGTATTGGGTAATAGTGGTATTGTGCCATGGGAAGGAACAGCATGTGCCCAAAAAAAGTCTGAACAAAATAACCCGCAAAGTTTGAGTGTGGAAAAGTGCTACAGGCTTCTGGAATCAGTTGGCTCACCGAAGGTCAGGCAGCAACGGTGACAAAGATGTGGGACACATAAGCATTTTATAGGGAGTCTCAGAAATGTGTAGGGAGAGAAGCCCCATAAAAGGCTAGATTTTTCTGCCATAATACACAAAGGGACACTGGCTATTGGTGTTTAGGCTTTAAAGGGAAGCATGACCCACCCCTGAGGGCTGAATAAGTATGAGACACCTGGTTTATATTTATATAAATTTTTGCACAGGACAATTCAACCTTCTAAGCACAAGGCAAAGTAGCATATCCAATGTATTAAGCGCAGTGCCTCCTAACTCATAATATATAGCATATAGCAGTCCTGCCACAGCTGCTAACATTTATGGACTTTCTCTATGAACTAGGCTGGGCCAAAAGATTTTTCAGCTTTTATCTCATTAACTGATGCATGAGATAAATAATTTTACTATCTTGATTAAATAACTAAGTAAATTTTGGCTTAAAAAAGTTTAGTAGTTACACCAAAATCCAGCAGCAGAAAATAACTGTATAGTTTATTTCCTACGTAACAATCCTTTCTTTTCCTTTCTCCTTACATCTGTGACTAGCACACTGTACTTCCTTAAATAAGGTGGGAGTGAGCGTTAATAAAATTATACATAAAGAGGAAACTAATATATATAAAGGAGAGGTGGAGAGAAAAAGGAAGAGTATATATAATCATTTATTTTTATGTCCATTAATAATTTATCTATGTATATAAATTGCAATATATTAGTGTATTTCTAGAAATAACAGAAATAGGGAATGATATTCTTGGAGTGAAGTCTACAATTGATAGATCTAGGTTTTATGAATAACATTTGTGAGTATATTAGCTTAGTTTCAAAATGTGCTTGGTTTGTCATTTAGATTATATTATATCCATGTATACAAAGAATAATGATCCTAATATACTCTGACTGCTAAATTTATACATTATTAGAAGTAAAAAGTGTCATATCTTTGAGACTGAAGACTTATGTGAAAATCTTACATAAAGAATATTAGAAACATAGGGAATACCTGTCTTGAGGATGACATCTTTATAGTTACAATTTCTACTTCAGCAAATCTTGAAAAGCACTCTGATATGTCATCTATTGCCTAATAATGCTAATCATATGGAAACTCGATCTAAATGCAAATTCATAACATGTAGCAACATTAGTTTACTTCATATACTTATGCTCTCACCTTGAAAGTACTCCACTTATTAAATTATTCACATATATATATAGAATTCACACATATATATATATATATATATATATATATATAGAGAGAGAGAGAGAGAGAGAGAGAGAGAGAGAGAGAGAGAGAGGAGAAAGAGAGAGAGAGAGATAGGACCTAGCTTTGTCACCCAGTCTGGAGTGCAGTGGCATGATCTCAGCTCACTGAAACTTCCGCCTCCCAGGTTCAAGAGATTCTCCTGCCTCAGCCTCCTCAGTAGCTGAGATTACAGGCATGTGCCACCATGCCTAGAAAATGTTTTTGTATTTTTAGTAGAGATGGGTTTCACCATGTTGGCCAGGCTGGTCTTGAACTCCTGACCTCAAGTGATCCGCCCTCCTCAGCCTCCCAAAGTTCTAGAATTACTGGCATGAGCCACTGGGTTTGGCCTATTCTTATATTTTGGGTGTCTTTTTTTTGAGTAGTCACACAGAATTACAAAGTGATACATACCCTCTTATTCTAAATGTATTTAGTCAAATACAAAAGTTTTGGTTTAAATTAATTATATTCTTTTTAATTTTAAGAGTGGAGAGATATAAAAACAATAAAATCAACTTCTGAAATAAAAAGAACAAATATGGTTATAGTTCCTTTTCCCAAATGTTTTCAACTTACAAAAGCAATTAAAAAGCAGTATCTCAAGATACTGTTTTGTTCTCTAATAGACTAGACAATGTCAATAGTTAAAAGTTTGCTAAAAATCCAAAAGTTGCCACATTAGACTGAACTTAAATTTATTATTTCTGTTACTAGCTTACTTTATCTATATTATAGGAGGAATTACTTCTCTTTAAAACCATATAATATGACAAATAATATATTACATTTTCATTTAATAGCAACTTTATGCATACTTATCTAAAAGATGGCATTATTTTGTGTGTGAATAAATCCATGTTCCAGTAAAACTTCCAGCACAGGTGAGGCTCTATATGTATGTTATGTTCTTTCTATATCTCTGGATTGTATGGATTTACATACTTGTATACTAGCACATATGTACATATGTTTAAGTATAATATACATGTCTGAGTATAACATATACATTTGAACTGTTCAAACTGTGCATATGCATATCCATATTGCAAAAAGCTATATAGATGACTCTGACAGCATAGAATAATTTAAAATGTAAGCAATGTCAAATAGCTCTTAAGTACTGATATATTTGTGCGTATGATATTGTAATTTCACTAATGCACACAAAAAAACCACCAATTTATTTTTTACATATATAATTATTTTTCTGATAGAATTATTGTTTATTCTGAAACCTAATATCAATCATTATTGTTCCAGTTTTAGAAAACAAAAACCGCTAAGAGAATGGATAGAAATTATCTTAAGATATCATAAAGAACCATCTCAGAATTTTACTCTTTTACTTCAAAATCATGTGTCAAGAGGTGTGGTATCTGAATGCCTCTTCTTCTAAAGCTCATAAACTGCTCTCCGATTACCCTAGTGTTGATACAAAATCTCGAGTTTGGTCCTCCATTTCACCCCTAAAACATTTAGTACATTATTCTTGTATCCATATTTTATATTTTTCTTTCATGGGGATAATTGTAAGTTAAAGGTGAATTTGTTGACTCAAACCTTAGACAGAATCAAAGATCAATCTAAAGATTTCCTAAGAATATCTCTAACATAGTGAATATTTGCTTTGGCTAAGCTGCTTAACAACAACAGAAAAAACAAGCAAACAAAAACTCCAAAAAAAAAAAAAAAAAAAACCTAATGGCCCAAACTTATAAAACGTATTTTCTTGTTTAATTACTTTAATAACGAATACGAGGAAGATGGGTATTGCAGTGAGTCAGCTTTAATTGACATAGGAGAGAGTTCTATGTAAACTAATCATAATGAATATGTTCTGAGGGTTTATATGTGGAGGGCTTTGTGTTAAGCACTGTGAATACTTCGTTTCATTGAAACCTCACACTAGACTCTATAAAGCTTAGAGAGATCATGACAGTTGGCCAAGATCACACAATGAGAAAGTAAGAGATAGAACTGGAACTTGATCACAGGAAGTCACTTCTAAAGACTCAACATCTGACCATGGTCTCTAACGTGCTGATTTCCAGCTATCAGCATGTGAATTTATTCCTATCAGGTTAAATGAAATCCAAGTAACTTATTTAACTTGAGTCTCAGATACATCCAAATAAAAATAAATGGCCTTATTTGTAACATTACGTTCTCAGTACTAAGTAAGCTATCTATAATGCTACAGTTCCATTAGGGCAGAAAACTTCATTTTATATCTACATGACATTTCATTCTTTTCTATTTGTATTTTCTAGAAGAGTTAACTGAAATTTATCCCAGGATGAGGTATCCTTGCTGAGGTGAGATATCTGTGTTGTTTGACAGTCACGGGCAGATTAATCATATCACTAACAAAAGTCAGTTGTTAAAACTTGAAGCACATTTTTTTAAAAAAGAGAGGTTCTCCCAGTCTCCCAGGCCAGGTGGGTGCATAGAAATGGCATTTTATCAGTTACTGACCAGATAGTTGCAAATACAATCCTATCACCTAAAAACAGGCAAATAAAACAATAGTAACACTTTTTTTTAAATTTTTAGTAGAAAGTCAGTTTTGCTTCTGAATAGGTATGTTAAAATAAAATCATGAGTTCTTTTAACTTTTTTTTGTGTACTAGACACTGAGTTAAAGGAAAGTGGGTTATAATTCAGAAATAACTTTCTATTTTCAATAACCTTAGAAAAGACGTAAAACAAATAATTCCAGAGTCATTTGTAGAAAAATAAAAATAATACTTCAATTATTAGTATTCTCCCTAAAATTGTAGTTAGAAATTAGAAAAGTAGGGAAGGGTCAATCAATAGTATTGATTGAAGATGTAATGTTACATGTATCAGATGCATAAATCCATAACAACAGCATAGGGAGACATCATTACTATTTGAGATAAATTAATATATTTGAATATTTTCCCACATAATTTCACTAAGGATTCAAAAAACTTCACAGGACGTTTACATTTCCATTGTTTGTTTTACTGATTCTGATCGCTCATAAAGTAGTATTTTCACCGCGACCTCCGCCTCCTGGGTTCAGACAATTCTCCTGCCTCAGCCTCCTGAGAAGCTGGGATTACAGGCACGTGCCACCATGCCCAGCTAATTTTTTGTATTTTAGTAGAGATGGGGTTTCACCATGTTGACCAGGATGGCCTTGATCTCTTGACCTCGTGATCCACCCACCTCGGCCTCCCAAAGTGCTGGGATTACAGGCATGAGCCACCGCGCCCAGCCTAAATAATTTAGTGATGAAATGTTGCCAAGCAAAAGATGATTTGGATTACCTATTGTATTGGTTTCTATCACTGTGTAGCAAATCTTTATAAAATGTAATTTTATAAAATGTACTACCACGTGATATCAGCTGGGTCCCAGGCATAGAGTCCGTCAGAGTCCAGGGAAGACGCTGGCCAGACTACATCGTCATCATCAGGATTGGCTGGGAAGAATCTGCTTCCAAAGTCATTCAGCTTTGGTAGAAGTTATTTCCTTGTGGTTGCGTGACTGGTCCTTTCGCTCTTTGTAGTTGCAGGTCCACATTCATTCTAGAGGCTGCCTGCAGTCCTTAGAGGCCACTCATAGTCCCTTACTCTGAGAACTTTTCCAACAAGCCTGGTTACTTCCTCAAGCCTGTAAGGAAATCTGGTCTCAGTTGGCCAAATCTTTTATAATGTACCCTCATCACTGGAGTGATGCCTCATCACCGTTCCAATGTTCAATTGGTTAGAAATCTAAGTTCCTGCCCACATTCAAGGGAAAGGTGTTATACAAAGATGTGACCACTAAGAAGTTAAGATTATGTGGGTCATCTTTGTGTCTATTTGCCACAACCATATATTTGAATATAGTTTCAAAGAAAGAATGAAGAAGCATAAAGAATTATGGGAATTGCCTGATAATTGAGGATGCTCATCCACCATGCCTTGGCTTACATTAGACAAGTCTAGCTTACTGAGAAAGTGTTTTAAAATGGGTTATATGACTTCACTTATTGAGAAAAGCTATCTGACTTGTCTTTGAGGGGGGAAGTAATAAAAAATACAGATATTAAATACTCTTTCTCTAAAACAATTTCTGGAATATTATCTAACAGAAAAGCCCAGCAGATCTGATTCAAACCTGATGTGAACACAGACTGCTTTGAAATGAGTAAATTTTAAATCTGATTTTTCAGATGAGGAAACTGAAACATGGGAGTTAAATCCCTTTTCCAGAGTCACACAGCTAGAGGATTTTGGAGCAGGAATTCAAATCCAGGCAGCTGGCTTCAGACCTCATGCTCTTAAACCTGACAGTAAACTTGACATCCATCTTTCATGCAAATGTTACTCTCTCTACCAGGAAAATGACACGTCTAAAAAACCTAGCTCAGGTATTACTTCCAACCCACCAAAAAATGTCCTGGATACACTAAGCAATAGAGTTAATCACAGCATCCTGTAAGTACTACCCACAGTACCCGGGCTCTATCACATTGTAGTGCAACAGGTGTGTTCACACTGCTTGTCTCTCCTTGCGAATAGTTAATTCATTGGAGCCTGCTATGCTGTGTGTCCCATTATCCTTAGTGCACGTTGCAGTGCCTTGTGCATAGAAAGAAATTAATCGTGATGCCTTTAAAGTTGAACCCCAGACAGTCAAGCCATGTTGATTGAAAAGTAGCTTCTCAGTTTGAGAGATTACCATCACAGTATTTAAAACAGGCTTGTATCCTTGGGGCTCTGTATTGAGGACATTTTCTTCATAGGATTCTAAGGTCTAATGACTTGGCCTGATCCTAACCTAATCCTTTAGAAAGCTAGAGAATAAAATTACATGTTTTTCACTTCTCCAGTGGAGTAAGCAGGGCTTTATTGTCCTTCTTGAATCATTGTCACACTAGTAATCTCTTCAAAAGTGAATTTGTTCTGGAAAATAATGGGTTAGAGGCCTCTGTGGAGGAACACAATAGTGGAATATTTTGAAATAATTGTAAAGCAAAACAGATAATTGTGTTTTCAAGCTCTTTGAAATATATATGTAAGATGTTATGTGCCTGAGGTTGAACAAAAAGATAAATAGTTATAGTCATTACCCAATAATGTTCCAATTATAAATAGCATTGTGTGTACATGTCCTCTATTATAAAATCAGAACTGGATGAAAAAGATCATAATCACATTAATAATTTGATTTGCTTCATTCACCTTTTGAGTTATCTTTTCATAAAATTAGAAACTGTGTTATTTCCTTCTGGAAAGTAGAATGGTGCATGTGAGGAGAATGTTTTCGTGTTAATCAATGCTGACAAGACTATTATACTTAAAATTAAAAGAAACAGAAGGTAGGCAGGTTGGGGGTTGGACGAGAGACAAATGAAGAAGACCAGATTGAAATTATGAGTTGCCAGCAATATATCTATTGACTTTTTATGTTTTTAGAAGTACCTCTATTAGCTTCCCAAAATACAGCTGTTTACAGTGATTGATAAGTTTCTGTGCTTTTAAGCTTATTCACATCCATTAGTTCTGCCTTTTTCCCCTGTTAAAAATCTGAGGCTGTCAGATTGAAGTAGCATGATCAGCTAATGTTCCTGCCAGATTCAAAGCATGTCCCCAGGGGTGGCAAAAGTGTTCTAAATCTCAAAGAAATGGCTTTTTAAATGTTGCCTGTTGACACTGGTCAGTCCATTTGCTGTATCAGAAATGTTGAAATAAATATCAGACAATTATAGAAACAGGATTTTGATGATCAATTTTCTAAAACATTTTATGTTTAGCCCAAACAAAAGAAGGTATTTGGAATTTTTATATAAGACTTTTATCTAAAAACAGTATTTTATATAAGACTTTTATCTAAAAATAGTATATAGTATATTTTCAAAATTGGTTAAATAATTTTCTAGCTTTTGCTTCAGGTTTACTAATGATTGCTTACTTTATTCCCTCTAGCATTTGATTATTTTCTTGCAAGCTGTTTTTTTTTTTTTTTTTTTCTTTCTCCTGTAATAGTTTGGGAGTTTCTGCCTTAACACATTTAGGCATAGTTTGTAGGAACAAAGGCAAAAGGTATTAAGGAGAGAAAATGATTTCTAAAATGTAAATTCCAAAGACAATGAATATTAAAAGTGTTTGCCAGTCCTGTCTCTTACAGAACACAAAACTCATATGCTTTTATAAAATATAGGAAAAATCACATCATTTTCTGCTCCATCATCAGAATATTATTATATAAATTAGATCATTTTTTTTAAAAAAGAACATAGCCCTAGTGCAGAACAACAGCAAAAGCTGAGGGAAGGAGAGGGAGTGTACCATGAGGAATGTATGAGGAGCAGAAGTTAGTCCCTTTACTGATTTGGTTCATGTGTGAAATAATTGATAAATAATTGAATATATGTGAGACTCCCAGTATTTTCAAAACCAGCTGGCAAAGTTGTGTTATTCCCTACCCTCTGCTGGCTTTCATGGAGTCTCTGCTCTCTCTCCTTTTCCTTCATTCTCCTCTTATCCTAATTCCTGATTACTGTAATCCAACACTCTGAGGTTTTAGGGTTTGGATGATTAAGGTTACCCACGGAATTGTTTAGAAATGTAGACCTGTAATGGAGAGGGGAGAGAATGAAGAAATAGAAGCTGTGTAGAAATAGTCAATACTGAGGCCAGGTGTGGTGGCTCACGCCTGTAATCTCCCAGCACTATGGGAGTCCAAGGAGAGCAGATCACTGGATGTCAGGAGTTCGGGACCAGCCTGGCCAGCATGGTGAAACCTTGTCTTTACCAAAAATACAAAAATTATTCGGGCTTGGTTGTGGGTGCCTGTAATCCCAGCTACTCAGGAGGCTGAGACAGGAGAATCACTTGAACCTGGGAGCAGAGGTTGCAGTGAGCCAAGATCGTGCCATTGTACTTCAGCCAGGGTGACAAGAGTGAAACTCCATCTCAAAAAAGAAAATAGTCAATACTAAGATCTGGAAACTTAGAGCATTCATGAATACTGCATCCAAAGAATATTTCGTACTACATCTTATTCATTATACAAATCAAGCAAATCAGCACACTTTATTGTGCACATATACCACTATATAGGTCAATGGGGTGAGAGAGCTGCTCAGAAATAGACACGCAATTTCGTTAGGAGAGGTTTCTCTGGGAAAGTGGCATCTGAAGAATATACAGATGTTAACCAAGTGAAGCAGGTGAGTGTGGGGAAAAAAAAGCATACAAGGAGAGGGAACAGCATACAGGACAACTAAGGAGCAAGGGAGACCAGAATACTTTGATGAAGTCAGAAAACACTCTGAGAGCATATAAAAGAGAAGGGTGGAGAGCAGATTATTGAGGTCCATTTAGACCATGTTTTAGATCCTGGACAGCCTCCTTAAAATAATAAGGAGCCTCTAAAAGTTTGAAGAAGGGCATTGACATGCTCAGATTTGCTTTTTTACAAGATCACTCTGACTTCTGCCTGGAGCAGCATATAAAGGGTCTGAGCACAATACCAGGTGGCACATAGGAGCTTAAATGGCTCTTGTTGAATTAAGGTGATGGGGATGGGAGTGCATTTGTTCCCTAGGCTACCACAACAGAGTACGGTGAACTGAGTGGCTTACAATAACAGAAATCTATTCTCTCACATTTCAAGATGGGGGTTGCAGCAGGTCATGCTCTCTCTAAAGGCTTTAGGAAAAAAGCTGTTCAATGTCCTTTTCTTAGCTTCCAATGTTGATTTCAATTCTTGAAACTCCTTGCTTGTTGGACACATCACGCTGTCATTATGGTGCTCTTCCTGTATGTCTTCACCTTACCTTCTCCCTGTATGTCTGCTTCAGTGCCTCTTCTCCTCTTCCCACAAAGACCCCAGTCACAATGGAATAGAGCCCACCCTGATGACCTCATCTTAACTGATTACATCTGCAAATATTCTATATCTAAGTAAGGTCATATTCATAGGCATTGTGGATTAGGACTGCAATATATCTTTCTTAGGGATATAGTTTAACCCCAAACAGGGGATTATTGAAAGGAAGTGAGATGATGGGTAGTGGAAAGGAACCATGTAAAGGTTTTAAAATATATTTTTTTGTAGTAGACTCAACAGGACTTGATTAAGTGAGTGTTTAGGGATGGAGCAGAGTCGTGGTTGACTTCCAGGTTTCTTCCAGATGATGATGCCATTTACTGAGACACAAAATCCAACAGATCAAGTAAGTGGTGGGTTGAGCACGGGTTCATTTTTGACATGCAAAGTTTGATCTGTCTGTGAGATTTTTATGTGGAGCTGTAGATTTGGTGGTTAAAAAATGCCTTTGGAATTCAAATGAGAGATTTGAGTTGGAGAGATAAGCGTGGGAGTCATTTCTGTTTGAATTATAATCAAAGCTGTGCAAGTAGATGACTTTCCTCAGCCAGATAATGTTTAGGAGAGCAGAAGAAATCCTGACATCAGCATTAAACATTTTAAAGGACGGTGTGGACTATTTCAGACGCATGTGAACAAAAGGGACCAGGCTAACCTTGCCATAAGAGAAAACAAACAAACAACAAACAGAGAACATTTGAAACAATGGTTTTTAAAACAAAAATATCAGGCAACCAAGGAGAGAAAAATGAGCAAATACATTGAGCCCAACGATTGCCCTAGATAACCTG